TTCATTAATACAAAGACTATTTATTTATTTAGACCACTAGTGATTTAGACCGTTCACTCCTGACCAATCAGAGGCACTCTCTCCTCTCTAAGCCCCGCCCACTAAAGTAACCGTTCCGTTCCGTTACGCTGCTTCCCTTTCTACTTTCGCTCGTTTCTACTAGTATGAGGAAGATGTCACTTCCGTTAATTTAATGGGCAGATGAGAGGAAGATACGAGAGGCCTGCACGGAAAGACCCAAGGAGTGGCTCTGTCAGTCTTCTGAGGGCTCAAAATAAAGCACCGAGTCCCGCACAGCGCTACCGCCGCCCGAGACGTAAACAACAGAGTCCCGACATATTTTTAACACCGCTGTTTTGTTGCTCTTCGCTGTGTTTCGCAGTAGTTTTATGCAGTTTGTCGCCGTGTATCCGGCCAGAGTCAGTTCCAGTCTCGCTCCCTTTAGGCTCTCGCTAGATCAACAATAATAACAAGTGTCCCGGGGTCCACCGGTTGTGTGCGGGATAGTTATGCGGAATTTCGGTGCTTCCAGTTGAAACACAAAGGCCCCAGAGGAAGCATGAGCGAGCAGAACCCGATTCATCTCATATTGTAGCCGCAGAACAGCTCAGAGCCCGGGCATGGTGAGTCAGAATTAATGCATATATGTATTTAACACACTCCCAGTCTATTTTACTCCTATATATATATATATATATTTTTTTTTTTTCTTATGCAAATACGTGAATTTGTTTTGTATGTGCACCAATGCTTAGAGATTGCAATGCTTTTGAAGAGTGTGCTTTTTTTTATTTGCCTGTCAATGTTCATATTACATTGTGCTAGAAGCATATGCATAAGCAAAACACTTTGGTTTGTTTATTACTGTAATATAATGTTTTAGGACTGACAGATAGCAGTCATAGATCTGTCAGATATGAAAGCAAATCAAATGTAAGTTATTCTGTCATTAAGGAACGGTATCAGGTGATATTCACACACATGAAGCAGAGCAGAGCTGCTTCTGCATGTGTGTGTAACAGTGTTCTCTTGAGTTCATGACAGTCTGAACGCTATGAGGAAATCAAAGACATTCTTCTTCTTCTGCTGTGACGTCACACTCACCGTGTGGAGCAACAGGCGACGTGTCGTGACTCATACAAAGAATTCAGTGCCCTGAGCATCATCACCATCTTCATCAGCAGCAGCAGCCCACTTCCTGTATTCATCTTCCAGCCTTTTTACTCTTTTCTGTGAACACACTCTCAGCTTTTTGTGTGTATTTTGAGGGCGAGAGCGTGCACTGAAAAAAAGGGAACTGTCAGAAGAAGGCAACATGATGCACTATGCATAGTCTTTAAGGGTTAATAAAAAAAATTGAAAAAGAAAAAGGCAACATGATGCATTGCACAGTCTGTAAGGGTTAATAATAAATAAAAAATTACATGAAATAGAATAAGGCATCATGATGCATTACACATAGTCTTTAAGAGTTAGTAAACAAAAATAACTATAAAATGAAATTAATTAATTTATCAGCCTCATGTTGTTCCGAGCATATATGACTTTTGTGGAACACACAAAAAAAGATATTATTGAAGAATTTGTCAGCTGTTTTTGTCTATTCTGTTTAAAAAAAAAAACATTGAACAACAATAACGAAACACTGAGACATTAAAAAAAACTTTTGTGTCCCACAGAAGAAGAAGGTCTTACAGGTTTGGAATTACATGAGGGTGAAAAATGGACAAAATAATTATTATATTATGATTTAATAATGACGCATTTTTTTGTGAACTATCCCTTTTGTAAGTAAATGATGAGCTATTAACATTTCCCCAAACCAAATGCATAACCGTGATGACAACAACAGCATAAATAAAGCCAGCAAACTGTAAAACAATCCAATAACGGTAACTATGCTGTTAATTCATGCTGAAAAGCATGCTGGGAGCTTGCAAACCCTTAAATCAGTTGTGAAAACATTTGAGGGATATCTCGTTAGTCTAAAATTGGATTCTCCGTACAGTAGATTCACATTTTTGAGTATCTCTGACTCCGTATGCTGGATTTGCAGTTTATAAATGCGATGGAGTCATGTTTGATGCACTGCATGGCTGCATTAAAAGGTCAGATTGAAATGCCTTATCTTGTCATATCTCATCTTTCTCTCCCCCCCTCATCTATCTCTCTCTGCGCTGCAGGCGTCAGAGGAGGCCTCCTTACGGGCCCTGGAGAGTCTTATGACAGAGTTTTTCCACAGCTGCACCACCAATGACCGCAAGAGAGAGATTGGTGAGCATATGCCTGGCCCTGGCCTTCACACAGTTATCATGCCCTAATTTGCAGAGTCATCCTTTGTGCAGTTATAATCTGAATAGGCCACCACTTATGTCTGTCTCGTATCATGAGACGTTCGATTTTTCTCTTCTTTCAAAAAAATTTCTTGATGCACAAGATCGCCCTTTATTCACTTCAATGATGCCTATTCAGTATGTAGCAAATTGTCAGGAGCAGTGTGCTCATAGAAGTAGTGTTCATACTGTTAAATGAGTGTAAAATGCAGTAAGGCCTATTAAAGCTGCTCTTCGTGTGTAGCACCTACTGCTCTGCAGATCCTTCTGAAGAAGTCAAGTGTTAGAAAAGGGCAGCGTGATCTGAAGAGTTTGACCTGCATATTTCCACATCAGTTATTTTATATTGCTCATTTCATATGCAAAAAAAGGCGTTTCAGGGTTTCTGCAGGGTTTATAGTTTTTAAAAAGGTCTTAAATTGGAGCAGAAAGTCTTAAAGTCATAAAGTATTGGCATTAAATGTTGCATACACTGCCTAAATACCTAAGTGTTTTTTTAATATAAGTATCTAAACATCCTTAAATCAAGATACATTTACATGAAATGCAAATTAAAGATACAAAGTTTTGTTTTCTGAGAAATTAAAAAAATATGTAAGTGAGTTTATGCTTAAAACAAGAACAAACATCTGTCATTTGGGAGTGAATTGTTTTCTCTTTGAATTACATTGATTTCATGAACTCAATTTTGATCAACTTCTTATAGGGCAAGACTTCCTATTCACTTCCTGTGTCACTTTACTTGTCAAGTAAATGTATCTTGATTTGAGAATCTTTAGACATTTGGTAAACAAGACAGGAATACTTAGCTTAATACTCACGTTTTTGCAGTTTGATCAGATGGTACAGTAAAAAATTATTTCCGTGTTCTAGTGGTTGGGAGCAGAGGTATTCAAGCCTTAAGCATTTAAATTTTTTGTTTTGAAGTAGCATTTTCAAACTTTGAAGCGTTAAATCTTCTTTACATTGGTCTTAAAATGTCCTACATTTATCTCATTGATCATAAGACCTGCAGAAGCCCTGGAGTTTACGTAACAGTCTTAAAGGCACAGCAGCACAAATATGGCCTGTTTAATTAATGGGGTCATATGATGCTGCTAAAAAGAACATTATTTTGTGTATTTGGTGTAATGAAATGTGTTTATGCGGTTTAAGGTTAAAAAAACATTATTTTCCACATACTGTACATTATTGTTTCTCCTCTATGCCCCACCTTTCTGAAACGTGTCGATTTTTACAAAGCTCATCGGTCTGAAAAAGCGAGGGGTGCTGTGATTGGCCAGCTATCCAGTGCGTTATGATTGGCCGAATACCTCAAACGTGAGACGGAAATGTTACGCCCTTCACCATACTGTGATGATGCCCTGTCAGGCCGGAGCGATGATTCAAAAACATGAAAACCCATTATAAACGAGGCATTTGTTGCATCCAGTGGGGACATAATTACAGATTATAATGACTTATACTGTCTTTTTACGCGTTGCGCCGCGTAAACATTAACATGTGACGACCCCGGGCTGGACTCCTCTTCGTCCACGGTTAAAAGCCGATCTGGCGATCCATAGCGCAAAGTTGTAGTATTTCCTCAGCAACCAGCACGGATCAGCTCTAGGCATGACGACGCAGATATCGTCCTCTTTTGGAAGACCAAACAAAGTAGTTTCGCTTTCACAACGAAACACACAGCGTCTTCACGACATGGAGGCAGCAACAATACTACAGCAAGAATAAAAGTTCTTCTTTCTTTGCATGAACATTTGGGCGGCGTTATGCAAATCTTCCCACATAGTGAGGTAGATATGTGGGGGCGTGTTAGAACGAGCCGTTTTAGGTAGGCGTGGCTGACTGAACTTTTATAAAGAATATCTCTTTGGATTTGAGACTTTAGTCTCTGCAACTTTACAGATCTTCTTTATGCACCAAGAGCTAGTAACACTCCAAAGAGAAAGGAAAAATTGAAATCGCACCATATGACCCCTTTAATTAAGGGTTAGAGACAGACTGCAAAATATTATTGTTGGTTCTGTGACAAATTGCTTATGTTCTTCTAATGCAAGTCACTTTGGATAAAAACATCTGCTAAATGCAATGGAAAATGCTGATGAGAAACTAAATTATGACTGTTTTGATGCATCAATGCTTTTAAAACTTATAAGGGAACCTCAAATAAAAATAAATGATCATGCGACCCCTTTAAGGTGAGGAATGTGTCTAATAAGTGTTATATTTTGTGGGTGGAGACCACATTCATGACATTTAAACTGTGAGTAGTTTAAAATCCTTGGTATTCGATTTGTTTGAGAGCATTTGGCCCAAGATTTACTCTAAATCCTGAGTCAAAGCATGGTGCTTTGAAACGCAGGACTTGTAGCTCAACATATGATCAATGTACACTTCTCAGTCAGCAGTGATATATTTGGAGAAAGTGAAACTGTCTGTAAGTGTTGCTTCATCAGGAAATAAATGGCTTGTATATCAGACCCTGCATAAGTCAAGTATTGCATCAGAAACATTCAGTTTCCAAAACCCAGAGTTGATGTCGATATATGCACGAGGTTATTGTCATTTTACTTTAAGAGAAAACCAATAATATGTTTGTAATAACGTAACAGTTCACCCAAATATGACAGAATTTAACCTTTTGAAATGGCTTGCTATATATTAGAGATGTGCATCTATAAATGTGTCGGTCCTTCTGTGCAGAATCTTGTGAACAAGATGTGGGTTGGTGTAGCCAGTGAAGACAAAGCAGAACTTCGTAGCTGTTTGCCCAAGCTTCTGCTTTCCCAGCATGCACTGCTGCCTTTCTTCATCAGAAACAAGCTGTGCAAAGTCATTGTGGACATCGGACGCCAAGACTGGCCGATGTTCTACCATAACTTCTTCAGCAACACCTTACAGGTATGTCTTATTCTTTATTACTTGTTATTAAATCTTATTAAAGTGATCTGACTCCATCGTTGTGGTTTTGTGTTGTAGTTAGTGCAGTCCCCGTCTCTAGCGCCGCTGGGTTTAGTTCTGCTCAAGATGACCTCAGAAGAGCTGGTCTGTCCCAGAGAAGACTTGAGTGTCGCTCGTAAAGAGGAGCTGAAGAAACTCCTGCTGGATCAGATCCCCACCGTACTGAACCTTCTGACTGGTGAGACGCTCAGAACTCATTAATTCAGAGTATATGTGAATGTTACTATTCCTTAAGAACTGTAAAAAGTGTATGTGATCTGATTGGAACCCTGGATTGGGCTTGCAGTTTTATTTTAAACTACTCTCTTTTCCTCGCAGGTATTTTGGAGACAGTGTGGGACAAACACAGTGTTACAGTCACCACTCCTCCTCCATCCCCCACGTCTAGAGAGTCAGGTGATCTTCTGCTTTGACCGTTTGAACACTTGTATGTTTTGAAAGACAAGGTCTACATCAGTGGTACCAACAAGTGCTAATATAGCTTATTTAGAGGCTGATAACTAGAATATAATGTGGTGGGTGGTTGATGATGGGTCTGCAACAACAAATTGGTCAAATTAATGTAAATTGATAATGGGAATAGTTGAATGTGATGTCACTTTACAGTAGTAAGAAAAAACTATTTGAACTTTGGAAAATAAAAACATGTTTAGGGAAAACGCCTGTTAGTTTGCAAGTGCTTTGAAGGCTTTTGCTTGTTTTTTTGCCACTACATAACATACTTTTGTATTTTTCTGTAATCCTGTAGCTTGAGAAATGTAATAGTAATTCTTTAAATAATTTGTTTAGGTGTAAAAACAATTTTTTAAATAATAAAAAAAAAAATTATGAAAAAATTTTAAAATATATAAATAAAATGAAATACTAAATAATGATAATAATAAAAATATTATTAATAATTAAATTTGAATTAATTAATAATAATAATAATTTCCGTAAAATGACAAAACCACAGATTTGGCTATTGGCAATTAATTTAACAATCAATTGAATTGTTATTGAAAATAATTTCATGAATTCATTGAACCCTAGCCAATATAGTTCTGAATCATATAATCATTATCAGTTAGTCAATTAGTGAACTTTGAATAAATATAGTAGGGCTGGGTATCGTTCAAAAATGTTCGATTTCGATACCAGTTCCTGAACGATACTTTTTTCGATACCGATTTTATGAAATCAATTTTAACAAGATTACATTATCTAAAAATTTTTTTTAAAACTTTGGTTTTATTCGCCTTTTTAATGTTATGGACATCGGACGCCAAGACTGGCCGATGTTCTACCATAACTTCTTCAGCAACACCTTACAGGTATGTCTTATTCTTTATTACTTGTTATTAAATCCTATTAAAGTGATCTGACTCCATCGTTGTGGTTTTGTGTTGTAGTTAGTGCAGTCCCCGTCTCTAGCGCCGCTGGGTTTAGTTCTGCTCAAGATGACCTCAGAAGAGCTGGTCTGTCCCAGAGAAGACTTGAGTGTCGCTCGTAAAGAGGAGCTGAAGAAACTCCTGCTGGATCAGATCCCCACCGTACTGAACCTTCTGACTGGTGAGACGCTCAGAACTCATTAATTCAGAGTATATGTGAATGTTACTATTCCTTAAGAACTGTAAAAAGTGTATGTGATCTGATTGGAACCCTGGATTGGGCTTGCAGTTTTATTTTAAACTACTCTCTTTTCCTCGCAGGTATTTTGGAGACAGTGTGGGACAAACACAGTGTTACAGTCACCACTCCTCCTCCATCCCCCACGTCTAGAGAGTCAGGTGATCTTCTGCTTTGACCGTTTGAACACTTGTATGTTTTGAAAGACAAGGTCTACATCAGTGGTACCAACAAGTGCTAATATAGCTTATTTAGAGGCTGATAACTAGAATATAATGTGGTGGGTGGTTGATGATGGGTCTGCAACAACAAATTGGTCAAATTAATGTAAATTGATAATGGGAATAGTTGAATGTGATGTCACTTTACAGTAGTAAGAAAAAACTATTTGAACTTTGGAAAATAAAAACATGTTTAGGGAAAACGCCTGTTAGTTTGCAAGTGCTTTGAAGGCTTTTGCTTGTTTTTTTGCCACTACATAACATACTTTTGTATTTTTCTGTAATCCTGTAGCTTGAGAAATGTAATAGTAATTCTTTAAATAATTTGTTTAGGTGTAAAAACAATTTTTTAAATAATAAAAAAAAAAATTATGAAAATTTTTTTAAATATATAAATAAAATGAAATACTAAATAATGATAATAATAAAAATATTATTAATAATTAAATTTGAATTAATTAATAATAATAATAATTTCCGTAAAATGACAAAACCACAGATTTGGCTATTGGCAATTAATTTAACAATCAATTGAATTGTTATTGAAAATAATTTCATGAATTCATTGAACCCTAGCCAATATAGTTCTGAATCATATAATCATTATCAGTTAGTCAATTAGTGAACTTTGAATAAATATAGTAGGGCTGGGTATCGTTCAAAAATGTTCGATTTCGATACCAGTTCCTGAACGATACTTATTTCGATACCGATTTTATGAAATCAATTTTAACAAGATTACATTATCTAAAAATTTTTTTTAAAACTTTGGTTTTATTTTTCAGCTTATTGATGTTTATACAAACTCAGACTCATCTCCAGAGCCACTGCACAAAGGAACAAAATGTAACCAACACAATAAATCAGTGCAAATAGTTT